TAAAAATAATTCTGTAAGAGTACGTACCCAAGAGATGGGCTATGGGCCTATTGGCTGTATGGTCCAGCGATTGCATCACACGGTGAGTAGGAACTATTAACTATATATAGTCAATGGTAGGAACAGAAAGTGACACATTGGAAAATTGAGCTTAGCATCATCCGTAAACCTCTGTTGGCTGTTATTGAACCGCCACGAGTTTTATGGCCGTCCCGAGATACTTGAACTGCCACGATCATTAGAGCGGATTATAAGGGTCAGTTTCGTAGGGTTGTAAGACAGTTGAACTGCCACGCGGGTTCTGCAGGTAGCGAGGGAACTTTTTGAAATATTTATCCCTCCAGTTTCCCACTTAGATATATGATGGACTAGGAGTCAAGTTTCGAGGCTACTGCGATCAAAAAACTGTGTACTTCCTAGTACAGAAACACAATGTTAAGTATTAAGGATTTCGTTTTCTCATAGTTACTTCCTATTATTATTTTTTTTTAGAAACATATTACGTGTTTATTATACTTCATTTGTGTGCCAACATAAAAAAAAAACACTTCAAAGATGTTTATATGTCAGTATATATTCTATATTTTATCACCTTTAAAATATTGAAGATACGTAAGCTGTTAGATTTGTTTTGGTTTTAGTTTCTTTATTTACTTTTACTTGAGTTACCATCTTGATTCTCCCATGGACTTTTTTCATTTCAAGGGAAATGACCGTACGTTTTTCTTATAATGTGGGATGGTGTTAAAACTTTTGAATTTTATTTTAATTATTATTTCAGCATTGTATATTTTTAAAACACAGCAATTGATGTTGCAGAGAAATGTTGCGTATATCCTACTCTACAATACGAGCTATGTCTGTTTGTTTGTCTGAATATAATATATACCCTGAAATCCAGCGGAAAGATTTTGACTAAATTATGGAATTAGGGACTTATAGCCCTAAAACCGTTATTGGTGACAGCCACTACGTTAAGAAAATTCGTATTTTGCTACACAGCTAATTTGAAAATTAAAAAATTTAATATTAACGTTATGAGTAATAATTAATGCTAGTTTGCGCAATTTTAAGCGATCATTTTCAACATCGTTAACAAAACATCTTACTAATATTATAAATGGGAAAGTTTGTGTGTTTGTTTGTTTGTTTGTTTGTTTGAAGTTCAATCACGCACAAACCACTGGACGGATTGGGCTGAAATTTGGCATCATGATAGCTCCCATTCCCGATTAACATATAGGCATCTTATCTCAAAAATCCTTTCGGCCTCCGCCCCAGTGGCTCTGTAGTTCCCCATGTTAACCTTATGAGTATTCATATTTCAAGGGAATTATAGAATTTAGTCTGCTGTTTCAACTAAAAAAATTGGTTCTGTGATATTCAAAAGCATTTAAGTTATAAGATTTACCACCCTAGTGGCAGCACTATATTTTTTGCATTTATGTAATGAGGACTGTCAGAGTAGGATTGTTTACAGTTATGTTTATGTTTTTAATGTCATGAATAATTTGTGATTTTTTGAGAATTTTTAATAATTTATTCTTATTACTTTTTAGGTGAAGTGGTAGAATATTATGGCTATAGTAGATGTGTAATACCATACCGTCAATTTGAAGAAGCAAATTTTATCAAACTTTCTTCTCCCCCATTACAAACGCATAACTGCAATAAGCATTTTAAACTTATATGCCAACCCCGTACGAAGGACGGGTACTCTGCTAGTAAAAATATAATTTATATAAATAAATATAAAATATAATTTTGTTTTTTAAGTGAACTGTCGCCATTACGGCTAAGAGCTCTGATATAAAACCAGGTTAATTTGAATCCATTACAGAATGTGCTGTCATTATACATTCTAGAACTCAATTATTGGTAATTTGACCGAATTCGTTTTGTACGTTAATTCCGGTCTTTGTGTTAGCCTCATTTTGGGCCTGAAATTCCAGCCCGTACATCGACATTTTTGCGAAACTTTAAGTAATTTGTACAGGGGGTAAAACTACAACTTGGCTACACAAATAATTTTTCTTTAGGGGGGTTGAAATTCCAGCCCGTACATCGCCATTTCTCTGAAATCTTAGAAATACGTACAGGGGGTAAATCTTCCGGGGATGCGGAATACTATCCCCCGGAAAACTACCCCCCCAGGTGAAACTTGACGTCACAAAATCTGCCAACTAACCAATATGGAAGCCGTATCCGCGACTGGAATACTACCCCCCCTAGACAAATCATGCTATTTAATTTTAATTTTAATTCGAGTAATTCCATTGGATAATGGAATAGTCATGTGGTGAATATAAAACAGAATTTCGAAATGTTACAGCAAGTTTGGTTGGTTAGGTTAGGTTAGATTAGAACTGTTTGACAACTAAATTTGAGTGTCCGTGACTGGAAAACTACCCCCCCGGTCTCTGACGTCAATATGACGTAGGGACCTGTTTGGGGGGGGGTAGTTTTCCGGGGGGCAGTCTTCCGGCGACCCGAACCCGAAGAATCCACGCATAGTATAGACGGCGTGGTATTCGGTATATGCCTAGATTTGTACATAACTGTTAACATAAGCATGCAGTGAGCAGGTAAATTTTGTTTTCGCGTAAATCCTCAACCTACAATTTGCATCTTTACTATTACGAATTATTTATTGATAACAAGCTTATATCAACTATAGGATGTTCAACTTTGATATTTTTATTTATTTATACCAGGCTTGTTTAATTCTTGGCTCTAAAATATATACCAACTATAAACCAACTAAAACATATAACAAACCAGTTATTTTCCAGGATTCCATGACCTAATGAGCAAAACTGATACAATACTTTCGATAAGATAGCTGTTTTTAATAAATTGTATAACCATGTTAAGAACTAATTATGACAACTTAAAAATATGTCAAAGCTAGCTTTAAATGCAATAAAGGAACCATGTTATGATTTACATTGGCCGCAATTCTTAGTCCACAATTGTATCCATATTGTCCGTCAGTTGTAAAAATAATCACAGTTCGATATACAGTATTACACAGTCAATATATCACAGTCTGTGATATATTTGATGTATAGTTGATAAGGTTGAAAACGATTTTACCTACAGTCACCCAACAAAGTTGGCTTCCTTGCAATGTTTATTATAGTACAGAAAGCTGCTAATTGCTGCATTTACTTACTTTGTCACACGGTTTATACTTTGTCGTACTATTCATGATTTGGCGCACACCAGGATTCAAACCAAACAACACAAAACAGCGTGGTTTTATTATGCACGTAATCTGGGTACGCTTGGAAATAGGTTGGATACACTTAAATATAATAATACTATGATAACTGTACTAGAGTTATTGTACTATGATAGCCTGTACTAATAACCTAATAACTACAGTTTGTTGTTGCTTGATTTATTATTGTTCCTTATATCTTAACTCTTATTCCATCCTATATCTAAGTGGGATAATGGAGGGATAAATATTTCAAAAAGTTCCCTCGCTACCTGCAGAACCCGCGTGGCAGTTCAACTGTTTTTCAACCCTGTGAAAGTAACCCTTATAATCCGTTCTAATGATCGTGGCGGTTCAAGTATCTCTGGACGGTCATAAAACTCGTGGCGGTTCAATATTTCCCCCTCTGTTACAATCACCCTCTGCAGTTGTGATTTTTTACTTCACACTTTACACAACCGCCATTGAAGAGTCGTCAATGAGTGGAACCTTGTTTCTAAGCTATTGGTGACGATCATTAGTAAATTTAAGTTTGCCAGCCTTATACAACACTGATTCAATATCTTCTTTCTGGTTATCAAAACTCCAGAACAATTTTATACACAAAGAATGTCTGGTTCCTGACCTGGATGATGCCTAGTTATTTAATTTACGATTACACTATATTATTCCACTTGCGATTAATTAAATCCGTTATGTCAGAAAAACGTTTTTAATCTCACTTGGATGGGATTTGCCTTCAAAACGTGATCGGAAATGGTTGCGGTGTTTGTAAACAACATTTGTAAACATTTCAGTGACAGCTAGAAAAAATAATCTTGATCCGAACAGCTGTTCGTTATTTCATAGATGATTATGTGATAAAAATTGGACGAAAACTTGACAAAAATCGCACAAAACTGCATTTTTGAACGTCCGTAATTTTAATTACAAAGTAGTGAGGCCATATTTTAATGGCCAAAGACACTCTCGCCAATCCAGTGAATACATTAAAATGACTTGGGTCTTGATAGGTACTCTCGTTTTCCTGGAGAAGATTGCGTAAAATGCCATCTTGAGTGTTGCAGAAAGACAGAAAGACAGACAGACAGACAGACAGAAATTTAGATGAGACTTGTTTCGGCTTCTTTAATGTATAAAACGTAAAAATAACCTAAAAATTTACGATTCTGAGCAATGTACAGACAAAACTCTAACTTTATTTATATAGAAGATAATTTCCTTAAACCCATGCTAGAGATTGTAGGTATTACTCTCAGGAACAGATAAAAAAAAAACAACTCTCTATCACTTTTAAAACCTGAGAAATGTATGTTCTCGCAAACCCTTGCAATACGCAAAAATCCCCCCCCCCACCATGGGTAGCGGAAAAAAAAATTTTTCCAGTTTTTTTTTTGTATGTTTTATTTAACTTCACCTTAAGGTGTAGTATGAGTAAAATTGGTTTGTAAATAAAGATTTTCACTTTTTATTTGAACTCCCCCCTTAAGAAGGTAAATAAATTTCAAATCACTATTACAGCACATTATCTAAAATAATGCACCAGATCTGTCAACATAAACCAAAAATACTTAGGAGGGTAAAGGTAAATCGGAAATAAACAACTTAAATAAGAAAATTGACAAACCTCTAAGGCATGATTGTTAACACTATGTAATGTCAAAACATACAAGACTTGAATTACTTTTTCAAAACAGCATTGGCCATGCTGCAAATTTTATTTTAGACTCAAATTTATTTAATAAACAGGATAACGTTTTGTGAAATATCTCTTTGATCACCACTTTAACCCTATTGTTATTGACAAAACAAATTTAGTTTCGTTGCTGAACGTGAATTTGTCGACGAATCTTGAATCAAACAATGACACCTCGTCGTACCACAACTGCACCATTCTGTAGAAGAGATCAGTTCTGTTTGCTCCATCTCTTAGAACAAGAGTGTCGTTCACGCTATTCTGACCTACTTCAGTTCCGTCCTTTAAGTTTCTACACTTATCGTGGGCCAAACTATCTCGTTCACAAGCGTTAGCGAATGCCTGAGCAATTTCTGCCAACTCGGAGTCCCATTTGAGTTTCATCATATTAGCAGCGCCTGGTTGCCCTGGCTGTTTACCCTGGGCGACCTTTTGTCGCATAAACACTATAACTTTATCACAGTATGATTTCATTTTTAAGAATAGTAATGTTATAATTAATTATGAAACACGTTATTGATTTATTTTAATACAACTGTTCATTTAGGAATTGTTGTTTGTTTACAAATATTACAAACATCACAGCTGGAATTAGTTATTAGCTGTAGTATTCATTTATTAAAACAAATCAGATGATAATATACCGTTGAATATACTGTACTAGAAGGTTGGCTTCCACGGCAAAATATGTACATTCAATCGTCGGCATTTGACAAATTATATCGTCGTTGGACCTGTGAAAATATTGAACAGCTTAAAAGATGCGTTGAAATATTCCAACTTCTGAGAAAAAGTCAAGTTCACAATACTCGGTTACAACATTTTATTTCTTTAGTATGGACTAGCTGTGTGCCCGTTCTACGCACGGGGATCTTATAGTAGTCAGTTGAAACCTTCTTATATTAAGATTAAGAGCAGCAATTAGTTTCCATATTTGCAGATATGCTGGCAAAACTATTATATATAAACCTTCGCAAATACAGTATCTGACAGTTCAAGCCAAAATAAATGCTTCGCAATTAAATGTCGCCCGGATCGTGTTGGTCCATATGTCCAATGATTAAACTTAAAAATGTTTTATAGATCCATGAAGCGTAGCCCTAAAGTAGGCCTATAATTGAAAGTTACTTTCCACATCGGTTAACTTAAACGTATTTAAAGTACTACCTCAACCTCACCATTTAACACTTTATTCCGGTTGACATTTTCAGTATCAAAGGTGCTCTTGTCCATTCCGTGAAACACTGAGAAATAAGGACATTAATGCGTTACCAACATACAACAAAACAACACAATACAACAATCCAACAAAGGCCACGAACTATTGATACATAAACAATATAAAGGCGTAAACAATTCATGATGGTTTGCCCAACAAATGTTTTACTCAAATAGGTTATCATTTTCTTAGCATACCGGGTAAGCTAAGATTTGGAATCCAGGCAGAAAAAGCAAAACTTATACAGAGTTAAGACATCACTTAAATTGAATACGGACGGCTCTAATAAATAAGGTGCAACACCAACGATATCTAATTTGTAAACTACCGGTTCTAAGGAAAAGAACCAGTACCTACGTAAGAACCTACCTAAGAATTACAGTAAATCGGACCAATTAAATACATTAATATCTAGCTTCGAGGTTATTGATCTCTTGCTTTTGGATTTTCTCGTAAAAAGTTATAGCGTAAACTTATCGGTGTCAGTTTGAAAAAAAGCAACCTTACCCAAACAACTTTTTGTTATTTAATAGATTACGCATTCTCTAAACAATGATTAGTATATCTATTAACATTAGAAGGAAATGCGACGAAAATCACACAATGTTGGGGTTTTGGTCATTTGTAATTTTATTTTTTAAGTAGGTAGGCCATGTATTCTATGGAAAAGTACCGGTATCAAGGATCGTCGTCAAAAAGGTTGTTATCTTACTAATATTATAAATGAGAAAGTTTAGATGTATGGATGTATGGATGTATGGATGTATGTTTGTGACAAGTGAACGCGAAAAATACTGGTCGGATTGGGCTGAAATTTGGCATGATGATAGCTCACATTCCCGATTAACATATAGGCATATTCTTATTTCAAAAATCCTTTCGGGCTCCGCCCCAGTGGCTCTGGAGTTTCCCATGTTAACCTTATGAGAAATGGAATTATTGAATCTTATCAGCTGTTTCAATTAAACAAGTTGGTTCTGTTCTATGATGTTCAATAGCATTAAAGTTACAAGGATTACCAACAGGGTTCAGCACTATTATTTCTTTTACATTTATGACAACAGCTAATTTGCAACCAAAAGGTGAGTGAGCGTAGCGAACGAACTTCAACCTGAAGGCAAGTGAGCGCAGCGAACGAGCTCCAACCTAAAGGTGAGTGAGCGTAGCGAACGAGCTCCAACCTAAAGGTGAGTGAGCGTAGCGAACAAACTTCAACCAGGACCTGATTGAGCCATGCGAACGAGATAATCTTGAAAATTAAGAAGTTAAACGGGGCAAAGCCCGCGGGTTACAGCTAGTGAATAAATATGTAGGCTTACGTACCCAAGATATGAGCTATGGGCCTATTGGCTGTATGGTCCAGCGATTGCATCACACGGTGAGTAGAAACAGAAAGTGACACATTGGAAAAGCGAGTTTAGCACTTCCTCTGTAAAACCTCTGTTACAATCACCCACTGCAGTTGTGATTTTTTACTTTACACTTTACACAATCGCCATTGAAGCGCCGTCAATGAGTGGAAACCTTTTTTGTAAGCTATTGGCAACGATCATTTCAGTGTCACAGCCCTATACAACACTGATTCAAGGTCTTATTCTTTCTGGTTGTCAAAACTCAAGAAACATTTTATACTCAAAGAATTTCTGGTTCCGATTTGGACGATGTCTAGTTATTTAATTTCATTTACGGTTACACTATTAGACTATATTATTGCACTTGCGATTAATTAAATCCGTTATGTAAGAAAAACGTTTTTAATCTCACTTGGTTGGGATTTGCTTTCAAAACGTGATTCGAAATAGTTGCGGTATTTGTAAACAGCATTTGTAAACATGTCATTGACAGCTAGAAAAAATAATCTTGATCCGAACAGCTGTTCGTTATTTCATAGACGATTCTGTGATAAAAATTGAACGAAAATTTGACAAAAATCGCACAAAACTGCATTTTTGAACGTCCGTAATTTTATTTACAAAGTAGTGAGGCTATATTTAAATCACTAAAGACACTCTCGCCAATCCAGTGAATACATTAAAATGACTTGGATCTTGATAGGTACTCTGGTTTTCACGGAGAAGATTGCGTAAAATGCCATCTTGAGTGTTACAGACAAAGGGACAGACAGACAGACAGAAATTGAGATAAGACTCGTTTCTGCTTCTTTAATGTATAAAACGTAAAAATAACCTAAAAGTATATAATTCTGAGCAATGTACAGACAAAACTCTAATTTTATTTATATAACTAGCTGACCCGGCGAACTTCGTATCGCCTAAGTTATACGTTTAATTTTCAAGATGATCTCGTTCGCATCGCTCAATCACGTCCTGGTTGAAGTTCGTTCGCTACGCTCACTCACCTTTAGGTTGGAGCTCGTTCGCTGCGCTCACTTGCCTTCAGGTTAGGTCGTTCGCTACGCTCACTCGCCTCCAGGTTGGAGTTCGTTCGCTACGCTCACTCACCTTTTGGTTGCAAATTAGCTGTTGTCATGAATGTAAAAGAAATAATAGTGCTGCACCCTGTTGGTATTCCTTGTAACTTAAATGCTATTGAACATCATAGAACAGAACCAACTTGTTTAATTGAAACAGCTGTTAAGATTCATTAATTCCATTTAACATGGGAAACTCCAGAGCCACTGGGGCGGAGCCCTTTTAAGAATTTCGAAACGGGAAATAGTTTACGTCCGATTCGCATACCTACAGAATTTACACACCAAATTTCATAACGATCGGTGAAGTCGTTCCGGAGGAGTTTGCAGACAAACACTGTGACACGAGAATTTTATATATTAGATAGAAGAAGATAATTTTACACTACTTTTAATGAACCAGCTGTTAATATTAAAATTGTATTCAAAGGTCTACTGAAACTTTCAAAATTAAATGTTTACATTATTATTTATGATTTTAAATTGATTCTCCACTGCATGCCAAGTTTTTTATAGTTTCAACAAAATGATGAATTTATGATACGTTTTAAATGTTTTGTTCAAAAATCTATGCTTTATTGCTCTTAAACAATTTGAAATTACAGTATGAAATTTTGTGGTCAAATTAATTATGGTTCATTCCATCCACGAAATACATGCACAGCCTTGTGTGATCGATATGGCCATTGCAAAACTACCCCATAAGTTAATCAATTAGCAAGTAAGTACAGGAGGATTAAATACATGGGTCGATGTGTCAAGAGAATGAATTAAAATTGCTTGGATAGAAGTAAAAATTTTACTGCTTTCTGGAGAATCAGATATTTGTATCAAATACAAAAAAGAAAAAGTTTTAATACGCATCCCGCTGATAAAATTCTGTATTTTTACTACCAAAGATGGTGATTCACTTATACAATCCAAATACGATCTGAATGATTTTCCCAAAGCAGATAGAACCAGTTATTTTAGTAATATTGACTCTTTCCAATATTATGTAGACGACAGACCAATTATATGAACTCCTTTCCCCATATAGTGAAAGAGGCTTTAACATGAACAAAAGTCATGAACAAGAAACAATTGTAAGACTACTGAAAAGCCTTTTGGGCAACCTAAAGCCAATGAAAGGACAGAAAATATTGAATTCAACGAATTCATCAACCAGGCACATTTTTTAAGGTACACTATCGTCTTACTCATAATTATGTTTATCCTCCCTAAGATTTTAATAACTTCACTCTATCCATCGCAGTTAGCTGAATTTACGTAAAACGTCAAGAGTAACCGTCGATTTCGACGGGATTCACCTAGTATTTTTTATTTCTTATAGTACAAGAACAAATTACCATTTAAAATAATGGTTTGTAAGTGCAGCAACGCCCGCCGGGTAACTTCTAGTAGTAGCCTATAATAATTAATAACTATGGATTTGTAGACTTAAATAATTTTAAATTTCTATAATAGTGTATAAGCCAATCGTCGGTCTCACTAAAGTAAGAGACACAACTTTCGGCTTCTCAAACAATCTCAACAATTAATCAAGAATCAAGAAAAAACGTCCGTAAATTAAGTGAGGTAGTCTTGTTTTTAGATACCCAACTTCACTGCGAGAGTCAACTGATATAAAGATGTCTTTCTTAAATAACACTGTTTATTTTTAAAAAAGTATTTCGTATAGCGGTGACAAAGCAAACTGCTAGCGCTACACTTAGCGACGAATACACGAACTACTAGGCCAGTTGCCTCTCATCTCCGCAGGAGCGCGCGTTTCGTTAGAAGTACTGTACCTACTTTTTAGGTTTTCTGTTACACAGGGAAGGT